CCCGCACCTGCTTCCTGCCCCTCAGCTGCTCCTCAGCTGCCAGCCCCACCTGCTCACTGGCCAAGAAGACGATCACGTCTCCGGCTTCCTCCAGCCCGTGGATCTCTAGTACAGCCTGGCAGGCGGCCGCCACGTGTTTCCCCGTCGGGGGCTCCCTGTAGGTCAGGTGGGGGGCCTGGCCCAAGCCTGGCACTCGGACAAGCGGGGGCTCCGCACAGAAGCGGCGCAGGGGCTCCTCCAGCTGCGGCTCCGTCACCACCACCAGGCGCAGCTCCGGGCGCTGGCGTTGCGCGTCCTTCAGCAGCCCCAGGAGGAGGTCCGTGGGCACCGTCCGCTCCTGGGCCTCGTCCAGCACCACCACCCCGTACGGTCGCAGGAGCGGGTCAGAGGTCATCTCCCGCAGCAGCACCTCGTCCGAGCAGAACCTGCAATCCACCACCAGCCAGTTGGGACGCTGGCGGGAGAAGGCGCTCCTCGCCTCTCTGGAGGAAGGCCCTGAGCCCCCAGGGAGGCCCAGAGGGCACCGTGGCACAAAGGCCAGAGCATCCCTTCCCCCCCCCCTTTTGAACACCGCTTGGCCCGTCCACTCTCCTGGTCAAGGGCAGGGTGTCAAGATGTCCAAGGACTCGGCTCTCAGGTGCTCCCCTCTCTTCCACAGTCGTTGCCATCACAGCTGAAGAAGCCGGCTCAAGCAAAGAGGGGAGAAGCCCAGGATGGCAGGGCCCAGTTTCCACCCCCCGTGCCCCCCCGGCCCTTCCCTAAGAAGGAGAGACCAGCAGCCACCGGAGGACACCAGGCAGCCACCACACAGATCAAACCCCTTCCCTTTTCACAGGAGAGAGAGAGGGACAAGCGCCCTCCTTAATCAATGGGAAACACTTGACAAAGAAAAGGCATTTCTTAAAAAAACAGCAGCTCACCTGAGGTTTAGAGAAGCCCAAAGGAAGCCGCTGACACCCCAGACAGCTGGGAAATGGCCGTCGGGGGGGGGGGATGAAGGGCCTCCCTGCCTGAAGGCCCCAGGGAAGCCAAAGAGCTCCAACTGAACGGTTCAAGTCGCCTGGCGTTCCAAAGGTCCCCCAGTCCTCGGTCTTGGCCAAGGGAGGGGGAGTAGGAGGCCTGCAGGGAGGGGGGGCAGGGCAGAGGGAAGCCCCCCCCCATACCAACCTGCCTCCTCCTCCGGGTCTCTTTGCCCAAGTTGCCCCCCCCTTTCCCCTGCTTACCTGAGGAGTGTCTCTGAAGTACAGCAGTCCTCGTAGGGGACACAGTAGCCCACCTCATGGCCCACGTTGAGGTCCATCTCGTCCGCCACCCGCAAGGCCAGGCTGAGGGCAGCCAGGCTGTGGGGCTGCGTGCAGACGACGTGGCCGTGGGCAAACTGCTGCGAAAGGGCGTGCTCCGCGCACCACTGGGGCACCTAGGGAGAGCCGGAAGGACAGGGT